TTTTGATTATTGGTTATAGTTTTGTGCGTGTGCGCATACCTGCGACCTTGTTGTAGCAGTTGTAGCAGTTTTTGTCGTAGCTGTTGTTGTAGCTGTAGCTGTAGCTGTTGTTGTTGTTGTTGTTGTTGTTGTTGTTATTGTTGTTGTTGTTGTTGTTGTTGTTATTGTTATTGTTGTTGTTATTGCTGTCATCATGAGGTGTTTATGCTGTCTAGTGCGACGGGATACGATGCACGCCAGCAAGTACGAGTAATACAAGTAAGTAGACGGACCGGTACGGGGTAGGTCCTGATCAAGGGAGGGCACATCCATGACGGGATAACCCTCATATCTTTCTTAGGCAGCCTGACAAGTCCAGACCGCTTCGCTTCTGTCTGCGCGCGATTCCATCTTGTGTATAATGTATCTTCTCTACAGTAAGATAGAGAGAAGATGTAATATCGATGGAGAGAGATCGATGGGGAGAGAGAGAGAGAGGAGGAGAGAGAGAATGATGCGACAAACTTGTACTGTGCGCGACTGTGTGCGACTGTGTGCGACTGTGCGCGACTGTGCGCAACCTTGTGCGCTTCATTGGCCCATGTGACGTCGTCATGGCTGCATCTTGCGACAAGGCGTCGCACTATTACTTACTATCCGCAGGACCGCAATGCGCCCGCGTGCGCCGAGCGCAAACCATCTGGGCGCATATCCGGAGACTGCCAGAGTTCTGTTGTGTCCTGTATCCCCGCATCCCTTCTTGCTCATATACTCGTAATCGTCAGTACATGGGACCTTGGACGAGGAGGAGGAGAGAGAGGGAAGGAGAGGAAGAGAGAGCCGTCGAGAACCCTTCGTTGCGCCCATCATTGGATCATTGGACCCGTCATTGCGCCTCGCCCCAGAGCACCTGTCCCAGCGCCTTTTGATCATTTGCACGTATGGAACCCTCATTCTCTACCGACTGCCCCCGCTACCTACCATACCGCTAAGCCATCCCCCGCCCCCTTGCCTGAGACGGAAATGCCAGAGGACCGTGAATTGGTACGAGTATGCATTGCGGTATCGATCCGCATTACTAGTACAACCCTTCACTCCGTTCGCCTCGCAGTCGGACATTTCAGAATAATGAATGCGACCAAACCATAGTCTAGTACTGCTCCCCCTCCCCTTTGCGACAAGTCAGGTTTGCGCTGAGGGGGGGAGAGAGGGGAAAGGCATAATGGTAGTATGATTATTACTACCTGTAATACATATCATGTGTACTATAACTTACTATAACTCGTACGACTAGGATAGAGCCGAACTGTCCACCCCCCCCCCCCCCCCCCCCCCCCCCCCCCCTCCCCTCTTCCCTCTTCTCGAATGCTACCCTTTTTTTACGTACAATTCGCTTCAAGAGGGAAAGGAAAAGGAAAGGAAAGGAAAGGGGGGGGGGGAAGAAAGGGAAGAGAACTAGATAGTGGGAGGTGTCACGAGGCGAATTGGAAGGGTCGGAGCTGCTTCGGCTCCCCCTTTGGTTCGGACCCCTCTGCCATTTGGGTCCCCTCTGGGGGGCTAGAAATGGGTCGGGCGTTGATTGCGTGGCGCGGGGATGAGTTCCGTTCGTTTGAGGAGGATCCTCTCTCTCTCTCTCTCTCTCTCTATCTATCTATCTCTTGCGCCTGAACGAACCGAATCGTTTCAACACGTTCGACATATGACTCGCACCAGAGGACATGACCTCTCCTCTCTCTCATTTATCAATATGAATCCTTCTCTTCTTCTTCTGTCCTCGCGCGGTTGATGGTGAAACGGCGAGTCGCAAAATGACTCGGGCGCACGCGCGCGCTCTGCGCACAATGTGGCAGGGCAAGAGGGACACAAGATAAAAATACATATATATATAAAAAAAAAAGAAGGAAAAAAAAACAGTTCAGTCTCGTCGCAATTCACCACCAAGGACCGGGGACATGCGGAAACCACTTCAGATCATCCGTGCAGTCTATGCGACTTACTTCCACCC